TGCCCCCATACTCTGACTCTTACTCTCTTATTCTGTATTTTTTGCTCCATCCTCACCATCTTTCCTTCCATTTAGACCCTCATCTACTACTCATTTAAGTTTCCATAACTACCCTCGCTGCATTAGTTCTGCCTGCCTTTGGTCAAAGGCCCATAATGTAGCCAGATCTTTATAAAGATATAATCACATCAAAGCCACATCTCCACTTACAACTCTTAAATGGCACTGAGGATAAAGTACTTACAAGAATCTTCTCAAATTCTCCTTCGGCTCTGTCATTTCCCTTTGTTCATCTCTGTACCACTCCAAACAGCCCTGAACTAACTACCGTTTCCCAAAAGGTCTGCATTTGCCCACTGGGCTGTTCTTTCGGGGACGCGGGCTTCCCACAACACTCACCTAGCCATCTCACCTCATCTTGCCCTCAGACCCCTCCTCCTCCACCCTTCTCCGCCTGGCCATCCCATACTTGCCCACCTCTTTTCCAGGTTCATGCTCCATTCTGTACCCTCTCTGGTGTCTTACATAGACCCCTAAAATCATAGCATTTATAACACTGGTCAGAGATTACTTTATAGCTCTGCAAAACTAGCAGGTAAGTTCTTTGGGGCAGGATCATATCTCTTTTGCCTTGAACCATCGAATTCATTGTCTGGAAAAGAGAATGTGCAATGAATGAATGCTGTTAAATGAATATGTAGACAATCCACAAACTTATACAGACCTAATTGTGTACCACAGAAGGATCCAGCTTAAAATAAAGAATCACACTGAGTAAAATTATTTCCAGTATCAACATGCCTTGCTTTACCACTTTTAAATTTAATTTTGTATTTCCCAGGTAAGTAGTAGATGAGGATCTGAATGGAAGTAGGGATGAACGTTTTATTTCTATTTGGCTATAAAGTTTTATTTCCCATCAACCAAAAGTCTTAATTTCTAAAGCATCTCAGTCATCCTCCCTTATGGCACGCACTTAACGTATTTTTACATCATTATACCATCATTACAGCTATATGTAGTATTTCAAATATTACCTAGTGGCCGAGGGCAAAGGCTTTGGAACCAAACTAATTGGACCTGAATCCTGACTCTACCACTTAGTAGCTGTATGATCTTGAATTAGTTATTTAACAAGCTATCGAAGCTTGCTTCCTGTCTGTAAAATGGAGATTATAAATGAAACCACTTTATATTATTATTAAGATTGGAGTTTAAACAGTGCGTGGCACATAGCAAATGCTCAATAAATGTTAGTAATTATTAATTATTTTTATCTCTTCTAGTAGACCATGAACTTCTGAAAAGCAAGGACAGCAGAAGTATTCATTTCCAGGACCACATGTCCCCAGTGCCTTGCACAAAGTAACATAGTAGGCTAATGTTTGCCGAACAGATTAATATAATGAAGTATTCATAGCAAAAAAGTACATTAACAATTATGATGGCTGGTATGAACAGAATTGCTCCAACAATTTGGAATCCTGTGGAGAAGAGCGACTACCCAGAACACCAGAAGTTCCCCCTGCTTCTGGAGATTTGGAAGCTCATTTAACCTCCATGGAATATACAAGACTCACAAAGAGAGGGCAGCTGAATGACAAAGAAGACTCGTGTGGGCCTGAAGAGCTGGCTGGCTGAGCCTTTGGCCTTTCCCTTAAGAAGCTACAAGAACTTGGGGCAGGAGTTTCATCTCTCAGGCTGATTAATTTCCTCTTTTGATTAACAGGGAGTATGACTGTGATTACTATTTTGCTTTTTGAGGTAGGGTCTCACTCTGTGGCCCAGGCTGGAGAACAGTGGTATGACCTCAGCTCACTGCAGTCTCTACCTCCCAGGCTCAAGCAACCCTCCCACCTCAGCCTCTTGAGTAGCTGGGACCACACATGCGTGCCATCATGCCCAGCTAATTTTTAAAAGATTTTTTTTTGTGGAGACAAGGTCCACTAAGTTACCCAGGCTGGTCACAAACTCCTGGGCTAAAGTTATCCACCCACCCCAGCCTCCAAAGTGCTGGGATTACAGGCATGAGCCACAACATCCAGAAGAAATGTGATATCTAATGACCCTCCTAGCCACTTTGGGAGTCTACAGAATCAGCAGATGAAAAATTAAGCCAAGAAAGGTGCTTCTGGAGTAAAAGAACAATATGAAAGTCAACATAGGAAGCATCAGAAATTGTATTACATGGGATTATTGAGTATTGGCAACATTTGAAACATGACAAAAAGCAAGATTTCTAAAACATGCTTAGGATGAAAAGATCTAAACTTGTAAAATCAAAAGGAAAGCAATGCGGGTGTCCGCTCTAGGTTTCTATTTAATTCCCGTTAGCCCATAAGTTTCTTGAGGCAGGTTTCTATTTAATTCCCATTAGCCTGTAAGTTTCTTGAATGTGCCTTGATAAGTGGCAGTGTTTGGCAAAGCTGTTCAATAAAAATACAATTATTCTGTATCTTTTTTCTGAGTACATAAACATACATTTATTCTGTATCATTTTTCTGAGCGCATGGCTAAACTATATTTCCCAGGCTCCCTTGCAATTAAATGTGGCCATATAACTAGCCCTCAAGTAAAGAATGTGAGAGGAAGGGATGGTGTCATTTCCAGGCTAAGGTATCTTAAAAGTGGGTGTGCCCCATCTACTCTCTCTCTTTTGCCCCTTCTGTAAGCTGAAACAGGTTACAATGGCAAGCTATGGGATGGTGGAGCTATAAGATAGGGGTATGGAAGCCAGAATCACTGCATGGAGGAAAGCCATCTTCCGACCAGAAACATGAATTTTACACTATTATATGAGCAAGAATAAACCGTCCATTGCTTTTGAGCCATTATATATTTGCAGGCCTATTTGTTACAACTGCTAACATTAGCCTAATGGATACAGGTGTTGAGCACGTACCAATGAGCTAACTCACATTTGTTGATTGTTAAATGAAACAGAATACCCATTAAGGTAAAACTCTGTAGGAAACAAGATAAATAAGATGAGGCTCCTCTTATCAATGTACTGACCAACTAATGGTGGGAATAGACTCATGCTAAGCATGCCTGCTGCCAAAGTTTGAAACCAAAACATGATGATTTGTTTGGGAAGGAGAAGATGGAAATGGCCTCACAGAGGAGATGACATTTGAGCTGAGCCCCAAAGGTTAAAAAGGACTTCAAGCAAGTCAGATGGGGTTGGAGACTGCAGACCCAGGAGAAGGCAGTGTGCATTTGCTCACTTTCAACCTTATCATTAAGTCTCTCAAACTTGGTGAGCAGACTGCGAGTTTATGTGCACTCGCTTTCCTTCCTGGGTCTGGCATCAAACAAACGACTCTTTGTTTATACAGTACACTCATTAACCCTATTGCTTTTTTAAATGTAAAAAGTTTCACGATGAATGTTCTTAAAACTTGCATAAGTGAATAATGAATCATAACTCTTTTCTAATAAAATTACTGAAAAATAATCTTGATACAGTTCTGTTACTTACAATAGTCAAGGAGCCATATACTCTTAGGAAAGAACAGGTTCAACTTAGGTTTTGACAAGATCGATTAAGTGTGTAATAGTCACTGGCTTACAAAACGGAACAATAAGCCTCCAGATTTACATGAACATTTCCTCTGTAAAAGGAACATCAGACGTTTAGACTTCAGTAAAGATTTTCTACAGCCCCAGTTCATAGCCAAGTGGCCCTAAAGCCTCAGATAGCTAAACCACTTCCTCCAAAAGTCTGTGAGTCCCTTTATCTGAACACAGGGTACCCATGGAGCAGGGACTGGGGAAGAAGACAGTACAAAGAGTGGAAAGTATTGCAGCTGCTTGGGTGGTGAGAAAGGAAGTAGGCGTCCCAAGGCTACCGTGAAGCAGGCAAGAGACAGTCTGCAGTGGTCTTCCAAATGCTAACTCTAGACTGTTTCATCCATGTCCCCAGGTATTTACTTCAATAAAAGGGCAAAACAACATCACTGGGCAGACAGGATTTCATTTCAAAAGACTTCAGCACAGTGCCCTCTTAGACTTGAGAGAAGAAGCAACTCAGGCGACCTCCCTCTTATCAAATACCAACTGAATTCTGATTCAGAAACAAAATTCTTGTGACCCCCCACGCCAGTTTACCCCAGCTCTTAGTTCTTATTCCCAAAATCAGAGGGGAAAGGACGAGGGGTTGCTGAGGCTACCTTAAAAGTAAAGAAACTCTTAAGACTGCTGGAATAATTGTCCCCTTAAACCTAAGAAACACTGCAGCTGCCAGTCAACACTACCGGTCTGTGAACACAGCAAAATGCGGGCACCTGCCACCCGGCATCTGGGGGTTCTTTTATTTTTTGGTAAATGTGGCAGGAAAGACCCAGAGAGATCAACTGCTTCATGGGGAAAAAAAGGGAAGCCCCAGGGAAGAGAGACCAGAAGCATCGTGCCTATCCTAGGATACTTTGTGTGTCTCCTCTCTATGCACTGAAAGGGCTCTTTGTGTCACACACACACACACACACACACACACACACACACACACGGCGAGTCTGTGTGATTTACTGGGAGGAGGGGCAAGAAGGGTGATTTTATTATCCCTCCTCCCAGAGAGTCCCAGCACATCTCTGCCTGGGCCTAAGCTTGGTGGCCTCTTTCTGGCCCAGTCCTCTCCGCCCGTGGCCGCAGAGATATGAGAGGGGAGGAGTCCAAACAAAAACAGCCACGGATCTAGGGAACTAGAGAGGAAATCCATCGAGGGAGCCGGAAAGGAAGGAGAAAGGAGCTTGAGGGAGCAGAGGGGTGGGGGACAGAGGAAGAGGACGGAAGCCTCCAGCACAGGGGAAAGGGGAAGGATGGGTGGGTGGTGGCACAGGAAGAGTGAAGGGGAGGATGGGGGAAGTGCAAGGGAGGTGCCAGAAATAGGCAGGAGGATGGGTTGGAGAAGGCGACCGCCGCCGAGGGAGGAGGCAGAGAGGTGGAGGAGTGGGGCAGGGGTTGGGTGGGGAGGGAAGCAGCACGGGGCATCAATTATTAAGTGATTACATCATCCCCGACATTAAAACAACACACACAGAGCCGGTCCCCGCGGGGGGCCCCGAAAGGAGGGCGGGGGCGGAGTCTGGGCCAGCCTCGCCCCCAAGCCAATTCCTATTTTCACCCGGCGCCCGCTTGCGGGCGAGGAAATGGGGCCCCCATCCCCGCGCTGCCTCGGGGCCGCACCCCGCAGGGGTGTCCTCCGGTGCAGCCGCGGGACCGCGAGCGCCGACTCCCTGGCAGCCCCGCCGAGCGCCCGGGCTGCCAAGGGACCGCAGCGCAGGGCCCCGCGGCGGGGGCGGCAGGGACGGCGTGCGCTGGGGCGCCGGCGGCCGGGCGTCTCCGCAGCATCCCCGCGGCCTCCCGCGGCGCATCCCGCCGCCTGCTTACCTGCGCGGCGCTCAGGCTCCAGAGCCCATTCACATGGTCCTCTCCCCGCCCTCCTCCGGCGCGACTGAGGCGGCTCCGGGAGCTCCCCGGCGGGCACGGGAGCCGGTGGGCCTTCCGAGAGCAGCGAGGGGGCGGCGCCGGGGTGTCCCCGGCCCGGCGGCCGGATCCCTCCCAGGCGCGGGCGGCGGCCGCCGGGCGGTGCGGAGCGGGCGGTGGCTTTGTGTGCGCACGGGCGGTCCTTGGTGCGAGGGGAGAAGCGCGGCGCGCCTGGGCGGGAGAGGACGCGCTGCTCGCAGGGCAACCTTGCTTCTGCTCTGGCCGCTGGCTGGCGGGAGGGTCTCGAAGGCCTTCGGCTCGCGGCGACCCCTCCTCCTCGCCCGCGGCAGCCCCCTCCTCGCCGGCTCCGCTCCTGACAGATGGCGCAAGTGCAACGACGCGCCGCCGCCACCACCGCGGCTGCTCGCTGCTACTCTCGCTGATGCTCGGCCCCTCCAGCTCCGGAGGGGAGCGAGGAGGAGGCGGGGCGCGCCCCGAGAGTGGCAGGCCCCGCTGCCCTATCAAAGAGCCCCTTGGGAGCTGCGGGCCGCAACCATTGGCGCCTGGGGCGTGGGCGGGACGGCAGTGGGTGGGGCCGCAGAGTGGGTTGAGCGTTACTGTGGCAGCGGGCATCCCAGGGTGCGTGCGGTGCAGGGTGTGCAAGAGGATGCGAGGTTGGAGGAGGAGGTCTGTGTGTTTTTAAGGATTGTGTGGAGTTGTGAGGTGGCGGGGTAGGACAGGAGAAAGAGCGAAGAGTGTGAACCGCAGTTTCTGATTTGCGGAAGGATGCAGCTGCTGCTGAAGATTGGCACCTGCCATTCCCCCAAAACCACGGGAACATGCCTCGAGACAGGACTGTCTTGCCTTTCTGGTGTCTTTTCATCTGAGGGTGAGAGGATGAAATGGAAAATTGTTTGGGCGGTGATAGCAGCGTTTTCTTTAATCAAACTGAAAAGAGTGCTGAGCAAAGTAGAATCCTATCACTGAAACGTGGAAACGCACAACAAATAATAGTGAGGAGGAAAAGGTGATTGGGATCATATTATCAGTCCCCTATTTCTGGGACACTAATTTATATTTCTTTTCTAGCAAAAGTCTGGAGGAAGTATTACTGAAATGGGGGGAGGGGCCAAGTGGTGACTAAGGAACCCGAAATCACGGAGATTTGTTCTTTCATTTCCCCCAAAACGATCTTGTTTAATTGTAGCCATTGATTGTCTTTGGTTTCTCATGACATTCAAACTTCTCATGTTTTTCCCCCTTCACTGAACTTGAGCTTTTGCTCAGATTTTCCTTGATGAAATAAGTGCCGGCTTAGTGTACAGTTGGGAGTGCATCGGTCTTTATTTCCTATCCAGCTTTTCTATGGCAGGATGTAAGTTCATAAAAAGAAACACTTTGGCTTCCTGATTTTCTTTATAGGTAATTCCTGTTTACTGAAAGTTCTGCTTTAAGGCATACTTAGAATCGTTCTCCTTAATGATTTTGGCAAGAACCCTACCTTTCCCCCTCAGCAAATCTAATGTTCTAAGAAATTATAAGTGAATCAGCTTCTGCTTCTGTGCTCAAAATCTATAATATTGCCTTTCCAGCCCACTACTTGTTTTTATTGCAGTTTTAAAAATCAGTCCCTTTTGATGACTTTTTTCTTTTTATACACACTACTGTTTAAGAAAAGTTGCTAACATTTATTAAATGATCTGCATCCTATGGAGGAGGAAACTGAGAAAAATAGAAGTTAAGTAACTCAAGGTGATTGTATAGGGTGGTTACTTTTTTTTTTCTTAAACAAAATGACAAATTAAACCATGTTTAAATTGTGCCTGGTAATTCCATAATCCCAAGAAATGGAACCATAGCTAGGACTAAGATATTTCCATACAAGAGAAAGCCAGTTTCGTTTAGCCAAGAACTGCTTATCTCAAGAGCAAAGGGTCTTGGTCCTCAGGGCTAGTCCACAATGGCTGTTCTGGGTTTATTTGGATTGGGATGCAGAGGCAGTTGTGTAGAGCAATGATTCTCAAACTTTGAAGTGTATCAGAAATAACTGAAAGGGCTTGCTTAAACATGGATTGCTGTGTTTAACCCCACGCCCCAGAAGTTCTAATTTAGGGGATTTGGGATGGTGCCTAAGAATTTGCATGTTTAACAAGTTCCCAGGTGATGCTGATACAGCTGATCTGGAGACAACACTTTGAGAACCACAGTTCTAGAGTTGGGCTGTCAAAGGTAAACACTAGCCACACAAGTATTAAGTACTTGAAATGTACTTCAGTACTGGAAATGTGGCTACTACAAATTAGGATGTGCTGTAAATGTAGAAGATGTATTAGATTTTTAAGATCAAGCATGAAAAATGGAATGTAAAATATCTCATTTTAATATTGATTACATGTTAAAATAATAGTCTAAATGTACTGTGCTAAACAAAACATATTATTAGAATTAACTGAATTATTTATTTTACTTTTTAAATGCATCTACTAGAATATTTTAAATAACCTATGTGGCTTGAATTATATCTCTATCAGGCAGCACTGGTCTGGAGTTGTTTCTGATTCCAGTGCCACAGTGCACTGTTGGGAGCGCCTTGATGAAGCAAGTCACTTACCCTGTTTGAACCTTAGTGTCTTCATACGTAATATGAGAGAAATAGTAAAACTGATCTCAAACTATTCCTGACAGACTAAGTGTCATATGCTTTCAGAGAAACCACTCTTAGGCTACAGACCTCCTTGAAATTTCATGTTTAAATCAATCTATCTTATGCTAAATCTGGAATAGGTGGGGTAAGTCCTCTCTCTCTCTCTATATATATATCTTCAAGAGGAGTCACTTCTTAGTGTCTGCAACTCTAATAGCTTCTTGATCTAATTAGTGGACAAAAAGAAGAAACAATGTGATTAAAATGACTGATTAACCTGCTCCCATCAAGACTTCATTCTGTTTTTTGTAATTCTTTCCTTACCTACTTTTTTAATCTGTTGCCTGTCTTAAATGTAGCTTTAAATGGATTTGTACTCCTCAGGAGGGTTTGCTAATGGTCTGAACAAGTATATAGATCACTGCAAAAGATTGGGATACTATTGCTCCTTTTGATCTATTCTGCTGGTCTCTACCAAGAACTTGATTAAAGATCCGCGACGCCATCCCTGGCCTCCACAAGGGAAGTGATATTGTCTTCCACAACCACCAGTTTTATTTTCTTATGAGTAGCTTCTATTATACAAATTAGAATATAGGCACTGCTCTAGAACTTCTCTTTGATTTTATTGATATTGTTTACATATTTTTTATTTTTCTAGTTCTTTTGCCTTAAAGTTTCCTCTTTCTAGTCTGGCTTTCTTTAACTTGTCTCATCTGAATCTTATCTCTTGCTTTTAAAGTAACTTTTTTTTAATTTTTAATTTTATTGTCTAAAACATTTTCTTGTCTTATTATTTCATTTCAGTTTTAATCTTCTCTTAAATGTCAATTCAACAGCAACGCATATGGCAAGGGCAAAAACCCTTGATATAGAGTTTCCACAAATCAACAAGAAAATAAAGATGAACATTCGAATCGAAAAATATATGCAAAGAAAACAAAACTCCGAATGGCCAGTAAATGTGATAGGAGGTTCAACTTCATTTACAACCAAAGCAAGGCAAAGATATAGTTTGTTCTAACTACCTAGTTGGCCATATAGGAAAATGGATACCCATACCCTACTAGTGGGATTGTTAATTGGTACAATATTGCTGGAAGGCAATTTAATAGCATTTAAAAAATGTATTCATTTGACTTAGCAATTTTACTTCTGGGAAAGAATGGAACAAGTTTGCAAATACACACACACACACACACACGCACGCACGGTGGGAATAATTGGAACATTGTTTATAATAGTGAAACACTGAGAAAAGTTCATTAATAAGGGATTTGGTATGTAAATTATATCTATAACAGAATACTGTATAGCCATATGATTTTGACACTGCCATTTATTTATTTTTGTGGAAAGATTTTCACAACAAATTAAGATTAAGAAGAGATAATAAATTAGTATTGTGTTTGTATGTGTATACATGTATGTTTATATATGTGTGCATATTAATACACATATATTTTCATTATTTTTCAACATATATATGTAAATTTTCATAGAAAGCAATACATACACAAAAATTTTAATGGTAATTTTCTCCAAGTAATCATATTATAGGTCATTGTTTTTTATTTTTTATCTTTTTCTTAATTTTCTCAACTTTTTACATGGGACATTAATTGTTATTAGAAAAAACAATAAAAACTTATTTTAAACTTGTTTCTTTTTTTTGCTGCCTTATTCCTTTTTTTCTTCCTCTTCCTCCTGTCTGCTGTTTTTCCTCCCTTTTGAAGCAACATTGCTCCCAGGGTGGTATTCAGGAACCAAGACTAGGACCAGAGGGAGGCCTTCTGCTTCCATCCACCCACAGCTGTCCTTCTTGTTTCTGGTGGGTCTTCTGGGACTTGCAAGAATGGTTCTTGTAAAACTTAGTTTTGAGGCCAAGCATGGTGGCTCATGCCTGTAATCCCTGTCCTTTGGGAGGCTGAGGCCAGAGGACTGCTTGAGCCCAGGAGTTTGAGACCAACCTAAACAACATAGCAAGACCCCATCTCTACAAAAAAATTCAAAAATTGCCAGGTGTGGTGGCATACCCCTGTGTTCCCATCTACTTGGGAGGCTAAGCTGGGAAGATTGCTTGAGCCTGGGAGGTCAAATCTGCAGTGAGCTCTAATTGTACTTCTGTACTCCAGCCTGGTTGACAGAGTGAGACCCTGTCTCAAAACAAAACAAAATGAAACAAACAAACAAAAAACCCTTCACTCTGAGAGTGGTATATCACTAGTAAAATGACCCCAGAGCTAACCTGTCTGTACTTGGCATATTTGGTTCACTATTTACCTCTTGCTTCTGATGCCTCATATCAAGTCCTTATATAAAGAGCCACATATTTTTATATCCAGAATCTTTAGAGCATAACCAATGGATTTAGGGCATTTTGGGTCCACAGCTTGCTATAAGCCAGCAGGAGATGGTCCTGGAAAAATCTCACGTGGGCAGGACATTCCATACAACACCCCAGCCTGAACTCAGAAAGGAGGTCAGGTGATATTAAACCCGCTTTTGGAAGGAAGAGAACTGCTGCTCTTCTGAAGCTGAGATTCTGGCCCTATTTTTCTACCATTGTCTCTCTTGTTAAATTGTGTCCACACTGGACAGCTGGTCCTACTGGCAGGCCACAGCAGAGCCCTCTTGGCATTTAGCTTTCCAGCTCCCTTCTCTCTTAAAAAGATGGAGGGTGGACTGACTAGACAGGAGTTATTAGGAACATGGCTGTAGAGCCCAGGTACACTGGATCTCTGTTGGATGCTCTCAATGTGTCAGGGTCAGTACTGGGCAAGCCAGGCATGTTGGGGAGGAAGAGAGGCCTCTGTCCTAACTAGACCACAAGGAGGGTGAATGGGGTGGCGCTGACTGAAGATGCACTTCTTTGATTCTTTGCCCAACTCCCCAAGGGAGGCTTGGATTATTAGCTTGCGAAGTTCAAGTGTCTGAGAATGGGTCTTAGTCAACCTTGAGTGTCTAGATGGAAACCCTTCTAATTTCATAGAGTTATCTTCCAACACACCTCCTGCAGGGACCCTGTAGGACCCTAACAAGG